CTATATGCTTAGCCTATCTTCCGGCGAGAGATCTATCTCGGTATATCTACTAATTGATAAGCTTTATATACCTACTTTTCGTTCTTACTAGGGTTGCTTTTAATAGTAATACCTTCCGTTATCTCTGCTAGCTTCTTAATACGCTACTAGCCGATATAGCCTAGGCGTCTATACTAGGTTTGAATCGATACTTCTACTCTTGGTTCTTAAGCTGACTTCTTAGCCTTAGTTGTAAATACTAAGTCCTTAGGTTTGAGTTTAGGATACTAAAGATCCTTAGGTAGGGTCAACCAGGATAGCTTTATGTCCTGATAGACTTTGAAAATCGGTTGTCTATCTTTAGACTTAATATAGTCCCTTCTGAAGTTTATTATAAGACCTCCTTTTATTATCAATCTATAGGATATTAGATTAGTATAGAAATTAGGAGAGTATCTGACGTTGTATAACTCTATCCTTACTACCTTTCTACTATTAGGACTAATACTATAGATGACTATAGTGCCTACCCCGTCGATTTTCGTCTCTATATCTCCTACCTATACGCTACTCTATACGTCCTCGAAAGTCACGAATAACTCTCGATCGTTGTATATATATATTTATACTCTAGTGTCGACTACCTAGCGCTTTCGTACGGGCTGTATATCGTCGATTTAGGTCTGGTTTTAGGTGGACATAACGGTGGTAGAGACGTTAATATACTTGCTAGCCGGTGGTATGGTTGCCTATGCCGTACTAGGTACTATCTTGCTAGCTACTAGACTAGCTTCTAGACTAGCTTAGGGCTTGGGTTCGGAGGAGAAGAAGCTATAACCTTGGTTTTTAAAAGCGGTATTTACTTGCTCTTATACTTTTACCTTTTGACGTTTCTTGTTAACCTAGGCTTTCTAGGCGGGGTTAGCTTTTATTACTTTCTCCTATTTGTCCTTAGTACCTTAGTTTCTTATATATAAAGGCGGCTTATTCTCATCGAATACGTCCTAATATTTCTAAGCTAGATGCCGGCTATTGCTCTAGCTATATAGATAGGGTCTATTATAGAGCTAGGTTTTAGGCTTAGCTTCTTTATAACCTTACTATATCGAAAATGTAGCTCTGGAAATACCTCTCTAGTTAGTGGCTATCTTGCCGTAGGTGATTCTCTAGTAAGCTCTATATCGGTTAAGAAGCTCGGTGAATATCACCTTATCTACTTTATCTTATAGTCTTAGGGTCTATGTTTTATAAAACCTAGGGGATATTACTAAGATAGTATCTAGGAACTAAGTTGGAGTATCATCTACTTCTGGTATTTTCGCTCTCTTATACCTTGCCTATACGGTCTCCTAGTTTAACAACCACTTGTCGATGTTAGTATTCCGATCTAATCCTCGATCTAGGGTACGCTAAAGCTAACGAAGCCTAGCTATATTTGTTAGATTATACTCGGCGGCAAACCGTTATCGGAGGTTACGGAGGAGGTTATATAGGGTCTTAAAGTCGATAATAAACGGTTAGTAGTTGGCGTAGACGCTATTCCGAATAGCTGTTACTACTACGTTTAGTCCTTTCTTCTGCTAGGTATAGGCTACGTTGTTATTAGCCTATTCTATTTATAGTATCTTGTATATATCGACCTAATAGTCTTTATACTATATTTGTACTTCTATAATTAAGATGACTTTCTTAGGTGCTACTAGTAGCTCTAGTCTCTTATCATTGCTAGGATTATATAGCTCCTATACGTCGAATTGCACTGCAATCGATTTAATATTGGCTAGCTATACATCCTATGTCGTTGTATCCTTTAGTATAACGCGAGAGGATGCACCCGCGGAGAGGTATTTAGCCATTTGATGTTCGTTGTCCTTTATGGATAGGCTTCCGATTCTTGATTTAGGGGTTGGTTTAGGGGTTGGCTTCGGCGACGGGGGTGACGATGTAGTGTTACTTTGACCTCAATTCGACGATAGCTAGGTTCAATAGAACGATTCCGGGCTTATAACTGACGGAAAGCTGGTGTACGAACAATGTATGGTATAAATGACCAATGTTAACAACTCTAACTAACTAAAATGACAAAACCCGCTATTTCAACAATCTGTGCGGACCATGATGACTAACTGTAATATGCACTTTTGTATGGTATGCCTGGTACCCAATGTCACATGATGTTCCCGGTATATTACCTGGTTTCTACCATGTATTCGGACTTGGTATTCGACAGTGAGATTCAACCCCAGGTCGCGCGACGGGCGCACCGACCCCCTCAGGTGACGAGGACCGTGATATGATTGGGTTACAGGTTGACTCTGGAACACTTACATAGTCCCTTAGCATCTGCACACAGCCCCAAAAGAGATACATACCTAGACCTGGCAGTGAACCTCCAGGTGGTCCATGATCTTGGACCCTCCACCCGACCCTCGGACATAAATTTATAACCCTAAGCCTAATTAAGGTGGATAAAACTGCTTACTTATTTTAATAAAATACAGTTATTTATATATGTTTTGTGTTTTGTCTACTAACCGGCCCTTGTAAATGTTTTCAAAAATTACAGAACCCCGCAAGCGAGGGTCCGCCACCCATACTGTTACGCACTGCCTAACGGGTCACGGTTATGGTAGTAGCTTCCGGGTTATACTTGCGGGTTGTCCAAGCCTCCAACGTCAACGACCTGTCTCTCAACTGAGCTGTTACTTCGCAAAGCCTTACTGCAGCCTAAGTCCTATCGAGGGTACCGAGGAACGATGCCAGGTAGAGCGCCGAGTAAATCTATACTGGAGTATTAGTCTGCTCGTGAGTGTTGTCAAGTTACAATCGAGTTATCGAGTCACGGTAATCCAAAGGTAAACACAAGTAACAATATATGATTGAAGACGAAGAACTAAACTAAGTATATAAACGAGTGTCCTTATATACCCTTCATGGCTACTCCTAGTTCTACCCCCTCGGGGTAGCTACTGAGGTAGCTGCTATCTACCTATAAGCCCACTCCCCTAGAGTAGCTTATAGAGTAGCTTTCCCGGTCATATGCTCCACAGTTCCTAAAGAGGGATTCGCTATAGTAGGCTCTGTCCGGTATAGATAACCGTATATGTGACGGAAAACCCCTGACAGGTGGGTTTGCTTACAGTAGACCAGATCATACTCTTGCTCCCTAAGTATAACGGATAAAGATCCTTACAATGAGTGAACAGGGATCAGGTGACAGTGACGAATCGGCACCGAGACAGTGTCGTACAAAGAAGGATCTATCATATGATCATCCTATCTTATATCAGGGAGATTTCTCCTTATAGTCAGGGATCCCCTAAGAGTCCCTATTAATTCTAGGAAGAATTAGTCTTATATACAGATTATCAGTAGTTGCGGGTCTCCACATGTGATTGGTGACTGGCATGTTCGTAACACAGTACTACCCGCTAGATTTTATTATTACTATATTCCCCAAAATCCACGATATTAGCTATATACTTTAACGTTAGGTCATACTTAGTACATATCTTGCTCGTGATAAAGCGAGGCTTAAGAGAGGAGGGAAAAAGAAGGGAGAAGTATACCTTTTGCTATACGGGCTGAATATTCCGGTAAAGAATATTCACTTATGAATATCCGCCATAAGTGCCTTTGATAGAGCGGCGAGCGGCCCATGCCCGAACTGTGGGTGCTAGGTGACCACGACCTTACACTTGCTTTTGTCACATAAGTGTATATAGATAACTAACTAGAGCTGGCGAAAACCACCAGTTTCCAATTCATTGTCATCGGGGACAAGAAGAAGAGCATAGCGAGTGGTAAGCGTGCATATACAGTATGTACGATATATATACCTATCTATCTTCGTAGAATACAATTGAAAGTGAATTAAAATTTTTCTAACTATTCTTTTTTCTCAATATCAGGGTACATCCAACAAGACAAATACTATGATATATAAAGTAGCATGCAGTAGATATAAATTTCTCTTCTACCAAGTTAACAATATATATATTGTAACAAGTGTTTGATCTGAGTCCTAAAGGCTTCGCCTAGGGCATTCTTCCACGGGGCCTTTTCAGGGCCAATCGATAGAATGGAATACAGATCTTTGCCCTCAAGTTGCCTCAAGTTCGCTTCTGTGTAGTCGGATATTTGTAGTTTTAAGCTCATGGGTTCCTTGGTCCTAATCAAAACGTGGTAAGAGATATATGAAATTTACATGAATTGTAGGTAAATGCCTCCCGGGGTCGAGCTTAGCTAGACCTTGACAAAAATCGTATATAGTCCTTTTAGGTAATGCCTTGATTAGGTTACTCAGAGTTCATCGGGGTCTATTAGCACGGTCACTGTGTCAATGCAGTCGAGGTTGTACAAAACTAACCATACTCCTACTAGTTATGCTATGCGACAACTATGCCCAGCTAGTAGTTGCTGGCTGCCATAGGGTGATAATGGGTTGTGCCAGGGGTAAATGTATAATTCTCCGAAAACCACCAACTTGGCGACCAATATCTGTTTGTGTAACGTTTCTCCCGGGAAGACTGCATGTTACACAAGAACGCGAAGGCAAATAGAATAATCGTGATTATGCCCGACCACGCGGATCTATCGGGAAAAAAAACGGTTTATAAGCATAACCGACACGTGGTTTCATGAAGGTGTGTTGATCTATTGATATGTCGCGCCCACACTGAAGCTTATAGAAAAAGATGCGCAAAGTTTCACAGAACAAGTATATCTGTTCACTCACCATCAGTAACCTCATATTCTACAGAAATTTTGTATTACCGACCTTCGTGGTCAATTCATCTGATCAGATGGAGCATGGGAGGCGGATGGGGCAAAGCCAATAATGGGACTACACTTACTGAGTCTATCACGCTCTGTTTATCATCCTCAGGGATTGACACCAAGCTTTGGTAATTGGCTAAGCTTTAGACTGTCTTCATATGGTATTTAAAGCGGTAGTGATCCAAGGTTCAATATACAAGTATTTCTAAAATTTGGACGCCATGGCAGACACTCCACCCACCATGTTCACAGTAACGGAGCATGTGATTGATGCGCAATACATCCGTGAATATCCAAATGCAACAGTTTCTCAAGATTCCCTTTTAAAACTTGTGGTGAAAAAGTATACACCTATTGACAACCCAAACCCCCAGCCAGGCGATGTGACCGTTATTGGGGCGCATGGATGCGGGCTTCTAAAGGCAAGTGCACAATCTATTGCTTATATCATGAAAGATGTTGCTAACTAAGAAGAATTCTAGGAACTTTACGAGCCGTTATGGGAAGAAATTCTCGTGCAAAGTAAACAGCAAGGGTTTCGGATTGGATCGATATGGATTGCAGATGTGGCGAATCTAGGTGCTAGCGGTGTTGTAAATGAGGAGCTGCTCGGTGACGATCGTGCGTGTATCTTCCTCTACAATTGAACCTCATGACTTACTAGTACAGCGTCATGGTTTGACCACCCTCGTGATATTCTACACATGATCAATCACTTTCGTCATGAGATACCGAGGCCCATCATTGGCGTAGGGCATAGTATGGGTGCGACTCAACTGTATGTTGTTTGAGGCGAAAGAACATAGTAACTCATGCTGACTGATATCTCATTCACTAGTGCTCTATTATCAGTTGTACATCCCCGCCTGTTCACATCGCTGGTTTTGATCGAACCAGCTTTTCCAACAATATTGATCCATCAATCATTTCCGTTCCTGTCACTGAAGCGACGGGACACCTGGAAATCAAAATCTGAAGCCATAAAATTAGCTGCCAGGGCGTATGTACGATGGGATTCTCGTGTCTTGCAGCGATGGAACGAGCATGGATACCGCAGTTTAGGGATGACCATTTACCCACAGAAAGATGGCGGAACCAAACACATTGACGGACCAGTCACTTCGACCAGCTCAAAATATCAAGAAGCCATGCTCTATATTCGACCGAACTTCATGGGCCACACTACTTCAGCACCAGCAGACTCCACTAAACCGCCTCTGTATGACCCTCTTATATATCCCGACATTATTGGCCCTCCCCACCTATCATGCCTTTTTATCGAATCGAGTCGCGTATTGCGTTCATCATGCTCAAGCACCTCCGACCATCAGTCTTTTATCTGTTTGGTGGGGAGAGTCAGGTCACAACACCAGAGGATCAAGCTCAAATCCTTGAGAGGACGGGTGCAGGATTTGGGGGGAGCGGCGGAGTAAAATATCCTCAAGCCAAGACGGCAGTTATATTGGACTGTGGTCATATGGTCCCGTTCGAAAACGTGGATGAAAGCGCTTTTCTTGTTGGGAGATGGGTTGGCCAGTCTGTGCAGAGGTGGCAGAAAGATGAACTGCAAGTGCATCAGAAATGGACTAATCAGCCAAAAAGGGAGGTGCTGACTGCACCTGCTAAATGGAGACCTATGCTGGAAGAAATATTCAAGTCTCAGGGGCGGACAGGGATGTGGAAAATCTAGTAACATCCATTTACTTGGGTTGCTTCGAGTTACTTGGCTTATTTGACTGTATGTGTTGCTTCCTATCGTGAATTCGCAGAATGTGTAAGACACTGCTTTTGGCAGGGTCTCATATTGCTTAGCTGCGTTGTGTTAATTTAGCTGCGTAGACATAGAGTATATACCGTACGAAGAAAACTGCCAACATGAGCAGGTATAATCTACAAGCTAGACAATAACGTTATGTCTGCGTTGTGTGCACTTGGTCATCTTCCAGGATATTAATTAGATAATGTCAACCAGTAGAAACCCCGGGACACGGTTGACTGGGCCAGTGGTCGGATTAGTGCTGGCACCTGGAGCTAAACATCAACAACACAAGTTGAACGGAGTATTAAACCCCCTTCTCGCCACTCGCGCGGCATGAAAAGCTACAAAGGATCTGCCCGTGAGGTTTTCTGCGGTTACACATTGCTCATAATCAACATGCATGGTTCTGCTTGTGGACAATATGTGAGGTCACACTGGAATCTATCGCCTCAAAAGCAGCAAAGTCACCCCTCAGAAGGGTGAGGTACATAACTGATTATACTCGACATACGATATGATTTTGAGAAGCCACAAAGTTGTTGTCAATGCATGAAGGCCGGATCAAACGGCCCGTGGACAGTTCCCAATTCGAGTATGCTGTGGCCTACAAAGATGTGCTCAATATGTACCCTCCCTCCCCTCCAGGGGTAATGCCATACAATCAGAATAATATAAAGTTAAACTCATCTAGTCTATTTATTTCTTCAAAATTCTCATACGAGCACTCTAAAATCCAGAGTTATTTGCGTGAAAGATGGTGTCACTCACATTCGACATATCCGAGTACCTGCTCTTGTTGGTAACCGCAGTCCTTGTCTACACAAGCACCAAGGTAATTTATCGCCTATACTTCTCTCCGCTGGCTGGATTTCCAGGTCCACGCTTGGCAGCAGCAACTAGCCTTTATGAAGCTTATTTCGACATTGTAAAAGGAGGCAAGTTCATGTTCGAGCTTGAGCGTTTACACGACAAGTACGGTTCTATCCTCCGCATCAATCCTCGCGAGATACATATCATGGATCCTAGCTTTTATGATACCGTCTACGGCGGGCCATTAAATAAAAGAGATAGATTGCCCTCATTTATCCAGAATGGATTGCCCCTGACAACCTTTGAGACTGCGCCACATGGCCTTCATCGTAAGCGGAGGAAATTATTGAGCCCTTTCCTTTCAACGCAGTCGGTTACAGCCCTCCAGCCTGTCATTGAGGAAAGGTTGGATCTGGTTTGTAGCCACCTGTCAGGAAGGGTTGGTACAGGAGAGGTTCTGGACTTGCACTCTCTCTTTGCTTCTTTCGCCGCAGACGTGATGTCTACATATATACTTGGCCCCGCGTATTCTTATGCGTACTTGGACAAGGCAGAGATAACGGACGAATGGAAGACAAATGTAAACAGCATCTTTGAGGTGCTGATTCAGCTCCGACACATTCCATTCATATTCAGACCAGCGCGCAAGTTTCCTAAGATTGCCGCCTGGTTGTTCCCCGACTTTTCTGGGGTTCATCAATTTGACAAGGTATGTGCGACCATTATATGGTGCTGAGGTTATACTGATAGTGGAATAGAAAACCCGCGAAGGTGTGAAAGCTGTGTACGAAAATCCAGATGGGGAGTCGATGATATCCACTATACTCTCTAACAAGAAACTACCTGCCAAAGGAAAAAGAATTCGACCGACTAGACAACGAACTACATTTTTTGATATTTGCTGCAACCGATGCACCGTCCCAAGTAATGGCAATCACTCTGTTCCATCTCCTTTGGAATCCAGAAACATACCAAAAACTCAAAGACGAGTTGGATGAGGCTTTCCCCGTTCTGTCCGAGGCGGACTGGACTAAGCTGAAAAGTCTTCCTTATCTTGTAAGGCAGAATCAATCCTGTCATATTCTCATATGTATACTAACAAAAGCCTTACCAGGCTGCTGTTGTGAAAGAGGGTCTACGGCTTTCCGCCGTTGTGACATCAAGGCTTCCGCGTATAGCACCAGATGAAGCTTTACAGTACGAAAAATGGACCATTCCACCCGGGGTATGTCTTCCCAAGGCTTATATTTCTTCTATCCAGTCCCGTCATCTTGTTTCCTTATTAATACGTTGATATAGACACCTGTTGCCATGACCATCCATTCCGTTCTACGGAGTCCTGAAGTATGTACCGAGCCGATGTAATTTATCCCAGAACGCTGGATGGGCCCTGCTGAGGAAGTCCGTGTACTGGATAAATACTTTGTTCCATTTGCGAAGGGAAACTCAAGTTGCATGGGTCAAAGGTAAGTGGTTTCTGGCTTCCCTACTGGTTATAGACCGGTGGCACTGATTTATATTAGCATGACCTACTCGTGGCTATACGCAGTTATAGGTACCGTGATACGCAAGTTCCAATTGGAGCTTCACGAGACGGACGAGAAGAATGTTCACATTGTCCGAGATTGCTTCAATGGACAGACAGTTCCTGGGCTCAATGTGATTAATGTCAGGCGGCCAAGGAGTTCAACTAGAATATTCTACTACCATGTAAATCATTGCTCTGTTTTGGGTCTTGATTCAGACTTATATTTCATATTTTCTCGGTTCAATATTCATTCAGTCGCATCTTTTCGGCTTTTAACATCTTCTGTATTTCTCCGAGAACTTGGAATTTCAAGAATTTACACATATCTCAAACTAATATCTTTTTCTAGTTTTATCTATATGGTCATGCTTTGCTTTATAGAGGAAGGGACGAGAATGGCATGGAAGAAGACTGTGATATGCATTACGAATTAATGAAACTTAGGATATGGTAGAAAAAAAAAATAAAATATATAATAAAATATAATAAGAACTAACTAGATAAGACCTACTTCAAAGCCATCACCTATATACGTTGTTGTCATGCCCTAGGTCCTGGGCCCAAAGACATAATCCCGATCAACTGAAAGGCGCCCAGCGGCAATCTCCATCCGGTAATGCTCAGCAAGTCCGATAACCATCATAACCCACCCGCGCTGGGCAAGGCCCTGGTCACAGTTCATAACTGGGAACGAGATATAAAGCTCGTGCTGGTGGTGCAAGGCATCATAGTGGGTAAACTTGCAGTCTCCAGCGCGGCAACGGTCAGCCACAATATCCATCAACTCTTCATCGGCCAAGAGGCGGTCCTCAATGGAAAGCTTCACCGATACCCACCACATCTCGGGCAGGGCGCTGAGGTTCTCATAGTGAGGCTGGCCGTCCGAGAGGAAGATAGTACGTGTGTGCTTCAAGGCTTCTCGGTGTGCTGGATCCATGGTCTCGAGGGATGTGATAGCTTCGATCTAAATATGTTCAGCTGTTGAAGGGAGTTGGAGTTCGCTTTATTTTTGATGAACCTGTGATAGGGAAACGCGTTTCTTTCTGATGAATGAGACTAGACGGGAGATTCCGAGGCTATTTAAATACGAAACAGCGAGACAATGAACAGTTCTAGGGAGAGGTCGTCTTTGACCCAGTTGAGAACAAAGTCTTTCCTACTAAGGTTGCTACAATGCCTTTGGCCGATCCTCTGACTAGGTACTACACTAGGTACTTAACACCCAATATCTAAATATAAAGTACAATGAACAAATCGTCGAAACATTTCACCGATTAGGATTCAAGAGTAAAGAGCTAAAGAACAAAACGACCACGGTTTTCGGAAAATGCCTTCCTCTCAAGTAACTTGGCATTGTCAAAGAATCTTGCTCTAATGTAGTATCGATCAGTCCAAACTAGACTTAGATAGCATCTGGATCATATCAAACTTAGTAAACAACCCTTTCTTGGCCATTAAGGATTAGAAATTCGATCGTTGTGGTGATATCCTTGTATTATTGTTAATACTATACAACGTCGAAGCCTAGTCTTACCTGATATTGCCGGGATGAAAGTATCCAGCTATGTGTGAGACTCGACAAAATCAGGCAGTTTATGCGTAAATGAGAATGGATTAATTATGACAATGAAGAGCATGTGCAAAAACAATTTTCGATTTCACGTCGTTTTCCATCTTCCCCAACAAAAAGGGAAGAGAGCAAATGCCAAAGGGGTAGGTAGCCATAACTACAAAGCAGTATACCCATATGATAAAAGAGTTCATTAATTGTGTACTTGGATACCGGGGTAGGGGTTGATCTGCCAAAAAAAAACCCGATGCGTCGTTTTAATTGGTTTTCAATAGGAGGCCTCTCCAGAGCTTCCAATGCCGTTTACTCCACATAGTTGGCAGGGAAAGGCCCCTTCTGCCCTCTCAACTCGCCCTCCCACCAATCGTCCGTGCTATTCGTCTTCCGCATGACGCGAATGCGGTCCCCTTCCCGGAAAATTAGATCACCATTTCCCTGGCCATCAAAGTCATACAGCGCTGTGACAAACACCGGACGAGAAGCTGCCGGCGGTGGTGGCGGGGGCTTCTTCTTCCCTATGGCGGCAGCCATGGGTGATACCTTGGCTTGGAAAACGTCTATGTTCGGGCCGGCGGGGGATCTCACCACACCTGATGGAACGGGAGTGGCTTGTGGGGTCGGTAAGAATGTGGGACGAGGGGGGTCGAAGTAGTCGCCGCCCGTCGAGAGGGGCTTGGATCCTGCGGTGTTTCCAACAGGAATTGCGCTGCTCTGGTGGCTAATTGTTGACAGGGGCGGAGATGGAGGATATTCTGGTACACAGGGTGTCTGGCTCGAGGAGCCTGGTGTTTGTGATCCCCGACGAAAAGAAGCTGAGAGCGAGCTTGATGAGGCAGTGCTGTGAATGCGATTTCCAATCGGGGGGCGTTTCTTATTCTCCTGGTCGGCTGTGGCTCGTCGCATGGCCTTGCCTTGGGTTAGCGAACCGAAGGTTTCTATTTCAGTCTGCACGGGCTTAAAGGTAAACTCCCAGTCCTGGACAACTTGTTCCATGGCTGGTGGCGGAGAAGGGAATCCCTCTTCTTCACAGTAAGTGTGAAGCACTGTGTAATAGTGTGCAAGCATGCGGTTTTGGATCTCGACCTGTGCTTCAAGGATGAATGGCGTCAGGGAGAATATGAGAGCGATCAATGTTGGGAGTCGCTGTCGTAAATCATGGTCGGCAGCTTGGTAAGCCTGGATCGCGATTAGTATTTCTTGTTCTATGGGTAGTATTAGGCATTTATATTTGTACCTCTTTGTTATTGGCAAGTTCGATTTCCGCTTTGGCGAGGCTCACATTTTCGCGATCAGTGCGCTTCGGCTTTTTCATGAGGCTATCAACACGTCCTTGGGAGATTTCAAAGTCGGTCTAGAGTTTGAGACGTTAGCCGCAACTAGTCCACCAAGATCTCTCAGCTTCAATGTGTACCTTCTTGTCATTTCGCTTTTTGATCGTCTTTTTCATCGGTGCAAGGGATTCCTTCGCTTGCGCCGCCGGCTGTGACATGCGAGTATCGACAGCACCGAGTTCATCCACGAGATCGGTACGTAGCTCGTCATATTCCTTCCGCAGTCTGTTGGTCCGGGCTAATCTGCCGGGGTCTGTATCAACGGCTTTGTGGTTGGACGGGGTTTCCGAGGAGCCAATGATAGGACCGTAGAGGCCGTCGAATTCGTCGACAAGGCGACTCTGGTAAGTTGCGATAGAGACCCAAGCATCACGCCAGGCATGAGTAGATTCCACGATCTGATAAAATAACACGTATCAGGAAATCGGACAGAACGCGCGTCATCGGGGTAACATTGTCTACCTTGCCCAGGAGCATATCTGCATCGTCGAAATCTTTTAGAAGCACAGCAATTTGGCTGTCATCTGCAGACGACTTTGTCGTCATGCGACCAAAGCGCCTTGACATGTTCTGCATGTTGGGCGATTCGGGGGGGGGGGGGGGGGAGCTGTCAGAAGCTCGAGGAGAACACGAAACGGGGAGAGAGGAGTTATAACAAAAGTATTGCCACACGGGCGCAGTGTATGAAACAAGAACAAACTTTAATTCAACCCAATATTATCCAATGCTAGATTTAAAATGTAAAGTGATGAGGAAGGAAAGAAACTTGGAAGGGGGCTCAACGTCCCATGCTCTCATGACACATAACTCGGCCCCAAATTGTTTCAGCCTTTCATGCGGCTCTCTCGCCCCACGGCCCCCCTCTCCCCCTCCAGAGTCATTGACATTTCGGGAAAGAGCTATGCTAATCAACGCCCAGAACCCCTTCTCCACTTTACATCATCAATCAATATTAAATTAGGGGCCATCTTATCTATCTCATACATCAATACGGAGTACATGGGCCCCTATGACAAGGATATACGCATACTATTCTAAGGGGGCGATTAGCTAGGATGCAAGAGAAGTTGAAATAAGACGTAAACATTGAGATTGATATTGATGAACCAACCCATGGATGAACGAACTTAACCTGCTGACTTCAGAACTCTAATATCTGATCTCATGTGATCCACATCGACATCGTAGGGCAAACATTGCCCTTTAAAAGTCTCATCGTCGATATTGTTTTGTCTTCAATCATAATTCAATAAGTAGGATATAAGGCAAAAGTGAGCAGGCTTGAAACAGCCCCCTTCTATTCCGGGTATAGCGGCATCACCCTAGCCCCGTTTTTGGTTTAGCGTCTCGGCCATTTGTACCGGCTATCTATAGAAAACGACCTTATATTGTATAGAAGTATAGAACAAACTACCATCCATATTCCTTGAAATTGGGATTATTTGGGTTGCAAGGTGGATCTAGCAGAGCTCCGTTGTAACGTTAGGAAAAATTGTGACTCCTCACAAACTTCGATGTCAGACTAGAATATGGCTCTCTAGGCCCTAACCAGATAGCTTAGTTTTTGGTTATGGCCTAGTGGTAAAGAAAACCATTCCACCCAATGTGAGCAATTCCAACATTATATAGCAAAATAAGTAATGAGCCTCAAACAACCAAATTCTACAAAAGGATGTAAGTCATATCCAAGGAACATACACAAACTCCAAACCGTCATATTCATCGATAGAATGTCTTCAGGTACTGTGCCTATACCAATCGAAGTGAATACATTATGCTCAGTCACCTAAAGAAAGCAACCCGAGAAGTCCACGTTTCTCCAGGTCCTGGCAGAATTTCTTTTTTTTTTCACAGAAATTCCTCTCTATTTCCCACTTCGTTACTTCCTTCCGCTTCAGCTTTTCGCCCAAAAGCTGTTTCGTATCCATGGCCAGTTCTGAAACCGTGACATATATGTTAAGCCAACATTTCTCGATGACGTTATCAATCGGTATATTGCCATTCAATTCCGGAAAGTTTATACTCTGTAGCAAGTCCACAACCTTAGGACCATACTCGTAAGGATCCTCGGTAAGACATCGGTCACCATAAACTTCAAAACCGTAGTTTATCAAATAGTACAAGGAACCGGTGGCGAACTGTTCTGTTTGAGAGCTGAGGAAGCCGGAAGTTTCAGATGCTCCTTGGTCCACCTCATTACTATTAATTATTGTGCCGTATGGAGCCATGTAGGCTTCGTAATTCGCCCCGATTTTCGCCGTAGAATCGAAGTCAGATAATTTTGGTCGGTTGCAATCAAGTAGGATATTTTTAGGTCGTAGGTCACCATGGGCGGGATTGAGTGATTCTAAGAAAGCGACGGCTTGAGCGAGATCGTTCATCCATTCCTTTCGTATCGGTAGCGGTTCCAAACTTTCCACTTTAGTGACTACCCTAGTTTGCTGATCTAGAATATGGTTTCCTTGAATCATATAGAAAGTGTCATATCGATTAGAGTAGTTTAAAGTAGTTGGGTATATAAACCTGTTCAGTTGCTACTAGGGGCCGCACCTTTCATGTACACGAGGAGGATGCCGTTTCCCGAAAAGAGAAAACGTTGCACGATATAGGGGCAAGACAGATTTCGTGAGAAGATCCAATGTATCTCAACTTCTTTATCGAACTGTTCACTTTCAAATTCTCCAGGCTTTGGGACCTTGACCACTATGAGAGGGTGGACCTCGTAAACGAAAGAGATACCTCCTCTCTGGATCCAGCGCACGCTAGCGAAATGACGCCGAATATCCATAATATCCACGATAAAAATATTATGCGAGAGGTGAGAGGCAAAATCGGGATATCTTGAAGAGCGGTCACCTAATTAGTTCTAATTGGCCCTTAACTTGCTTGTTGTTGTTGCCTTACTTTTCAAGTTAGACAGCCCACACTTCGTCTCAATTATTCGAGGTTAATCTTGACCATCTAGCTGCTGAAATTCAAATTCAAGCTGCAAAGATTCAAACTTGTTGGTGACATCTATAGCAAACGTAAGGAATGAAAAATTTCCGATCCCTACCAACCTTCAAGTTATTGCACATCCCATAAACTTGTGTATTGTATGTCATGAATTGTATCATTAACTATGCAGCGACTTATTCCCGGGCAAAAACCACATTGCCCTTATTGGCTCAATCATCCGTTGTATCCATCTTCAACAAACCCTTCTTCCACCATTTCTCCTCCTCTTCCACGGCCGTGATCCGGCTCTTCGCCTGCCGGAATCCATGCCCTTCTCCATGGAAAACCACCAACTTAGGATGACGACCAGCCTTTATCATCATTTCGACCATTTCCTCTGCCTGGTTCATAGGAACGACCAAATCCTCGTCTCCTTGAAGCAACAACAGTGGCGCAGTGATTTTATCTGCCTTGAGACAGGGGCTGCGTTCGCGGAAAATGCGGTTTTTCTCAGCTTCATCCGCACTAGGATCAAACAGCAAGGCGAATGCGTAATGGCTCTCGAATTTATGAGTATCCTCACAGAGAGCCTTGACATTGCCTATACCGTACAGAGAGTTACCACCGGCGAAGAGATTGGGGTAGTCACTGAGAGCTTGGAGTACGATGTATCCGCCCGCACTTTGGCCGCGAACACCGACTCCGTTTTGGTCAATTCGGCCAGTGGACGCTAGATATGACACACAGCTAGCAGCATCTGCTGTATCAAGGATTCCTAATGGTATTTGGTTAACATTGGGAGGGTATTAATCTGCCATGAGAAGGGCGGAATTCTTACCCCATTGCCCATTCAAATCATCCCGATACGCTCTGCCATATCCGGAACTGCCTCCATAGTTTACCCAAACAACAGCATAACCTCTAGAAGTCCAGTATTGGTCCGTGATACTCAGGCCGGTTCCGGTTTGGGATGTTGGTCCACCATGAACACAGACAATCAAAGGTGGCAGCGCTCCAGAAGGCGGCTGATAATCCGGGTTCTGAGGTGGGTAGAAGATGGCATGCGCCACTCCTTCCAAGCTCTTACCGTGGACTCTTGGAAAAGAGATATGCTCTGGCTTGGAAACAAGAGAAGTTGGCATGGGAAGCTCAGAAGCTACCTTGAGTACATTAAGCTTGACGGCGTCGGCGATGTCCAATGTAAAAACAGTACTGAAGCTTGTCTCACTAGATCCGAGAAGCGCTATTTTTGTGTCTGAGAGGGGATTATCTGCCAAAACAACTGTGTCTGTCACTGGCAGATTCATGTCTTGCCAGGAATCATTCGACAGATCTATCAGTATGAAGCTCCATCGAGCATTCTTTGTGTACGACGCGATCATTGAAGTTGGAGTCAAACACACGTACGTGCAGCTAGCAAAGGAAAATATAAGTCAGCCATCAAGTCAACAGCTGCGTCGAGTCGAAATCAACCTACTTTCCAAGACGCCAGTCTGGCTGCGAGAATTCAACTTCTTCCAGGCCATGCAGGGCCATACGTTGGCATTCTAGGGTGTCAACGTGAGACCGATAGAGCTGCCAATATCCCGAACAATCACTCGTGAAGTACAATGTGTTATCAAAGCCCCATCGTGGTTGGCTAACGCTTTCTTTCTTGGGCACGCCAGATACGTGGTTAACGTCTGTGACTTGACCATTGTCCCACTTAGCCACATACAGGCGGGCTCCTGTCCAAGGCATGTCTGGATGAGACCACTGCATCCAGCATATCCTGCTGCCATCAGGGGAAAACTGGGCAGCGCTGTAAAAGTCGTCGCCGGAGGCGACGTTGACTATTTCTTTAGATTCCACGTTTACCGCGACGAGTCGGTTCCGAACTTCCGACGGCAAGGGCTTAGAGTGATCCTCTTCGATCGCCAAGATCCATCCCGAAACTGCCTGACCATCTGACAAAGAGCCTATAGCGGAGGTGCATGCATAGCGGAGAGCAGTGCTTGTCTTGGTGATCTGCTCAACATGACCTGTGGAAGGATCAAGTTTATGCAGATCCTGTGTCTCCCGATCAGAAAAGACTACATGTCCGTTGAAAGCGATCATAGACGCGCCACCATACTCATGAATTTTGGTGCGAGCGTCATATCTAGTAACTTCTCATTAGACCTGGGTTCATACAAGGCTGGATCTTGAGTATGTACTTGGCCGGTAGGATATCGCGTCCTTCACTGCCGGTGTATTCGACAATACAGCCTCGTCCCTGCTCTTTGGGTCGACCCTCAATGACATAAACCTTCTCATTGGATGTCTAAATAGGTCATTAAAACATTTCAATATAAGCGATCTTGATATTCATTGACATACCGCGATGGATTCAAACTGAACACCGTCAGCGCCAAGCAAGGTAGAGCTGATCGGGCTCTTCCATTGGCCGAACGGAGCTGTGACGGGAGTACCCATGGAGATCGTCGCAATAGTTGGATTATTTTGCTGGATTGGTCGACTCGATACTCTTGTTGAGTACTGGTATAGACGTTGGCTTTGCGAGGGGAGGTTTGAAAAAGAAAAACTACCCCGCAGAGACTGCAATATTGGTGAGGCTAACCGGGTGTCAGCGGGGGTTCAATTGAAACGAGCCATCAGAGTGCTAATTCAAAGGCCCAATGTAAATGAAATATCAATATATCCAAGTATAACAACTAAGGTATGATCACTCGACTAACCTCCCACCTTCATCTCTAGTATCCTTCCAAATGTATTCTCAACGTGTCTTTTTTTTTTCGTGTCTTGGTGTCTTGGTGTCCTTTAGTCTGATTTTTTTTTAATGTCTGAGCTTGCTCTTGGAAGAACTTGCTCCTAATCCTATTAATGAGGTTCTCATGAGGCAGTATTCATAAATACCTGTTATATAGATGTTTCTGTATGTCTATTTCTCAAGACCGATGCCTTGAGACCTAAGAGCTTAGCTCTTATCAGCTTATCGTGTTTTCCACTTTCAGCGCGAGAACACGAGAACGCGACCAAACCTCATTCCGCGACATCCAATGCAGCCATGATCAAATCAGGTGTTCAACAATGCTACCATGATGTCCACACCGTCATCTTCCACCCGTCTTCCCCCGACCTCCCCGCAGGTCACTGCCTCAGTGGTGAAGTTTCGCTGCCTGTACACTCACGACCTACGCCGCAAATCCAAACGATGGCACGATGGCTACCTACGATATCATAAATTCAACAAACGTGTTATGGTATACGATGACCAGGGAAATTTTATAGGTGATCACCACTGGCGATCCTCCGATGAAGTCCAAGATGGCGATGAAATGGAGCTGGATAAAGGAGTACTGATTGAGGTAACCGAGAACATGGGCACATCTGAGACGGACATCACAACCCTGTATGAAAAGAAGAAATCTAGCCAGGGTTCGCCGCAGACTAAAGACCCGGTGTCCCAAGTCCCCCGCGCTTCTACCTATACCTCCACCGCCGCGCCTCTTCGTTCCTCCGCTTCGTCCCAGTCATTTCGCTCTCTTAACGATTTACTGGGCATTAAAAGAACTCCAATTGGGCATTTAGTGTCTCCCTACGAGCAAGGGAATCCTCCACGATCAGCAGCTTCTAGCATTCAAGAACCTGAACGCGCACCCAAGCGACAGAAGACGTCCTTGATAGTGAACCAAAGCGCAGACAATGGCTCGCGGGCTCAGGGTGAAGTCATTGATTTGACGGATTCAGCCGATCCAACCGATTCAAATCAGGGACTCCCCGCGAAGCCAAGGTCAAATCAAATGGTAAAAGAACTACCCAGAGCCGGGGGTGATTCTACGGCCAATGTACTCTCGACAGATTGTGAGCAGAGGTCGACAGTTCAGTCAAAGCAACCTCGGCCACAAAGACTTAACCCTCCTTCATTCTCAAGGGTCTCAGTTTCAACTGGATCTGAATCGGCCTCCGGTCTACTGCCACCAGATGAGGTGGTTCGTACAACCACTAAGTGTGTCCAACCACCAAGACCCCTCGATCCCTCATCGAAAGGTTCTCTGCCCAATATACCTGCAGAAGCAGAGATATCCGAGCCTCAAGGAAACCTGCGCGTGAGGCAAACGCCAATCAACCGCGAAAATCAGTCGAGACCTCTTTCACGTCCTATCCCACCACAGAGGTCTGACCCGCCGACGGTTTCAAGAGGCTCTCTCCCAATTGCACCCAAACAGTCGCCTGCTGTTCTATCTACGCGACAGCCACCAGTACGTGTAGTGAGAAATTATGAGAAACATATTGAAGCTACGAACGACCAAACTTCCATCAACGTTCCACCTCCAGCCGACGGTTCATCTCCGGCCCATGTCCCACCCCCACTCAATGTCTTACCCACAGTCAATGCTCCACCCCCAGTCAATATCTCATCTTCGACGAAGATGCCACCTCCATCACGCCCATCCTCAGCACCACAATCTGGGGCACCTACGACAGCTCTACGCATGGGAACCGGAAAGCCACGCAAGAAACTACTGTATAGTGCTCTATTACCCAGCGCTTCACGAACTCCATCGCCCGCGACCTCAGTTACACCAACTCTACCTGGTAGTGTAGCCCGTGAACCCACCACAAATACCCCGGAGCAACAGTTAGTATGTGCCCACCCATCAGCCAAGTTTGTGATATTGATTTCTGTATAGACTGGCCGCCGGTCCAAGTGATTCCTCAAACTCGAATGAAGAGTTTATGCCCTCAATTTCTACACAATTTATCTTCGACGAGATGATAGATGGATCAGGATTCAAATCGTCCTCCGCGATCAAAAGGCTGACCGGGAAAAGATCTCTTGATTCACCCTTGCGCAAATCGATATCAGACCCAACCGCATTGACTGGCCGCCAGGCCCGGGTAGGAGGATCATTCCATGCAGCCAACAAGGAAAATGAGCCCAAGGAGCAAGGCCCCTGGACATCTGAGGCATTAGATTTGTTTGACTTCTGGCCTGCTGGACGAGCAAAACCAAATGATTGAAATACTGTGATTGGGTCTGAAAGCTATGCTCGAGATTCTAAGCAACAGCGGGTACAGTGCAAGCCAACCAGTAACGCCAAGGACAATCATCTTTCAAGGCTCTTGTGCCCAACAAGGTCTACCATCTCGTGCGAAGCAACCGCCAAATTGCCGAAACCACCCTCATCGACCGTGCTGTTCTCGAAGCCAAGGCAGTGAGTAGATTTCTGTGGCGTTCTTGCGACAGACGGATTATTGTTCGGATTCCATTCACAAATGCACACTTTGCGAACATACTGCTTGCAATTCCTGTCGTGGAAATCCACGCATTCGTATCCGCAGGCTCCCCTGCCTCTCTCCCCAATCATCCCTGACGACCTCAATGACACGAATGAAAATATGATGGAAACAAAAATACCCATTTGACATTGATGTAGAATATATATGTACCCAGCTCATCTCCAGAAATGAACAAATCTAAACCCCCTTCTTAACCAAAACCCCAGAAAGATAAGGCATGGCAGACCACTCGAAATTCCTCTCCAACTCAACCTTCTCCCAACCGCCATCCACATCAGCCACAGCCCTCAAAACCGCCTCAGTATCCCTATTCAAACAACAATCCCCAGTAAACCAACTCCACCCAAGAACCTGATAGATACCCTGCACAACACGCCCAACAATCGACCCCTTCGCCCGCCGCCAAGGATTAACAACATGCTCCGTAACAAGCAACCGCCCACCAGGCCTAAGCATCCCATACAACTCACCCACCGTTCGTTCCATCTCGGGAACCGAGCACAGCACCCGCACGCACAGGATCGTGTCGAAGATGCCCGCGCGCGGGTCGGTATCGTACGCATCCACGACGCCCGTGCCCGTCGCACGCAATGCGGGAATCAGTTCGGCAACTGCTACGCCTGTAGGCACGATGTGGTACTTGGGTGAGATGTTCTCTGCTAGTGCTTTTGCGCGGATCGTGGAGTGGAGACCTTTGCATGGCTCGGCGCCGTATAGGGCTGTTATGGCTGGTGAGGTGAGTAGTGGCATCTGTGTGCCTGTGCCTGGTCCGATGTCGAGGACTATTCCTGAAGCTGTGCGAAGGATTGGGGGGATTAGAGCCGAGGAGCCGACTGGCTCTGGGATTTCTTGGTTGTTTGGGTCGGAGGACATTTGGCGAGGTGCTGTGGTGATTTGGTTAGGATGTGATTTTATTTTATTTCATTTGTTTTATATCTTTTTCTTTGTAGGAAGTTGCTTTTTTCCTTTCGTTGATTTTGTAGAAATTGCCAAAAGCAGAGGATCCGCTCTAGGTTTGTTGATGATAGATGTGGTGGCTGGGACTCACAGGTGAACTCGATCCAAAATCTTCCGAATGCTTCATCACGGAGTCTCCGCGTTTGTGTAATTGGGGCAAACAGCTGGCCATTTTTGAAGACTGCTTCGGCGCATACTCGGATGTAGTCTGTGGTATTTCTGTTAGCAATGAGCTGGTTTATAGGTCGAAGATGAGAATTGGTGCTGATATGAGGAATGTGCCGTAGTAATATACCATGTGCAACGATATATTAGACATAATACAGGGAGTCCCGTCGAAACACAAAATATGATATGAAAAATGGATACAATATAGGAAGGTTGATACAGTATATGGCAAATACACAATTACAAGTAGATCAAAAGCACATACACTGGCGTTGAATTCCATATATTGAGATCAAAGCCATTCGGTGTCTGTTCGGCGTCTGTACTTACGTGACATCGCCCAAGTCATGATATGTGCTGGCTCGAACATTGCGAGCATTCGCCCAATAAATGGTGGGGGTGTTTCGGTCGACATGATGGTCCGAAAAGTTCGAAAGTTGATTTGATCAACTCCAATGAATGCTAAGAGGAGAGAATACAAGAGGAGGTTTATAAAGTTAGGGCGCGCATATCGCTCACGTGACTCGGAGGCTTTTTGCGGATATTCCGGCGTTTGAAAAAAGAGTCACATGTGTGATCTGAAGATCACCAATGAACGAATGACAATGACATGATTATTCCAATGGATGATTGTATCGTCTAACGATCAGCATGCCTTACGAAATCGAAAGTAATCAGGCATAATCCAACAAAATTGAACATAGACTAATATCTAGCATCCTGGTCTGGTGCAAATTGCACAAATACTCAAAAGATGGTCACACCGGAAGAAAGAGCGGAGCCTATCAGTACAAAGACGACGGCATGTAGTCACAGGAATTATCAACTTAAAATGAGAATATAGGAAAAGAGCAGACTCAGATTGGGAGACACGTTCCAGCAGGACGTAATGATTGAACGAAGGACAGACAGAGACAATAGGAGAGTTGAGATCTGTAGGAAGAAAAGAAAGAAAAAGATCGTAGGTGAAGAGAAGGCGAAGGAAGTTGGGGTGAAACTATTCAGGGAGTTTCGAAGCCCAAGTATTCGGAATCACCAAAGAGTACATAATTCAGTTGACGTCTCGGTTTTGAGGTATGAGGTATTCCACGTTGGGTTGAAAGAAGTTAAAGTCGGAAACACTATTAGAAGGGTTGCTGGTTGGACAAGAGACAGAAGAAAAGGAGACTCGTCGTCATTATCTTAATAAGTGACTCGAGTCTGGGTTGAGGGCCTGCCCACAAACCCTACGAACAAACGCCAATTTCATAGGACAATGTTCAGTGATGGTGGGGTGAGTGGATACGGTTGATCCTCGGACTATACCGACTGGTGCGAGAAAGAGAGCCAACATCGTGTTTTCCGTCGCAACAGGCGCGGACATTCTCGAGTCGGTCTTGATCCTGGGTTTCGACCACATGTCTCAGGTCGTCGGCACTTTCTTGACCATGAAGACTTTCGTTATGGACGCTAGGAGATTGACCGTGCCGTCCCTTTAAGCTTGCGATGGATCCCCGAATCGAACTAGAGATGGTACTAAGTCTCGACGAAGAACGTTGGCGATCATCGGGAACCTGCAACGACGAGTTTGGCACAGGTGAGCTGAGCGCCGGTGATGCACGCCCACCGAGAGTCCCGGAAGATCGCATGGACATCGCCGAGGCCGCTCGCCGCTGTTGTTTGGATACTTGACGAGCGGTGCGGCTATTGTAAGAAGAGAACGACATTCGTGCTGTCTGACGAGAACTAGACCGGAAGCTAGGAGGGTTGAACTCGTTGATATCGTCGAGGGTTACACTGTTATTGTCCTCGCAGTTGTCATTGGTCTCCCTTAAAAGAAGGTAAGACAGCGCGTTGAACCATGTCTCATGCCTCTGGCTTGTCGTAGCCGTAAACCGAACTCGTCGGCCAGGACTGACAACTTCCAAGCTCCTGCAGTGAAGACCGGGAGGATACGGGTTGTCGTCGGCGACCACTCGAACAGCCTCAATAGGCACACTCTTGGTATGGAGCTCACTCTTTCCAGCAGTTTGTGGGTCCTGCGTACTCCAGTACAGAGTACGGGTGTATGGGTGGACCCAGAAGTATCGTCTGTGCCGTGTTGTGGACATATCCGATGAGCCAGTCTTTCGAGTGTACTTCCAAAGGAATTCACCAATCATGGTTTGAGTAATCGCCTGGATCATGCGCGGATCCGTATTAGGTCCATAGCCGCCAGGCATGGGGCTACCGTGAGGGGCCATATTGAAACGCTCCTCAAGCTCAGACGCGAAAGATGACACTGAGGATCGTCGAGACATCTGGCTTTGACTTCCCCTCCTCATTCTGGCCTGAGATGAACCGGTTCTTGAAGAGCTAGCCCGCGCAGCATGTTCACTTGGCGTAAGGGGGCGCTGGGAGTTCATGCGGTAGGCGGAGGCAGGTGCTAAAGGAGGCCCCATGATAGAGGTAGGAGATGGCGGAGCCAAGTCAGTGGGCCTCTTCTCGGCTGCCAGGATAGCTTCCCGGTGATCGACAGGCAGCGGGGGATGACTGGCACCAGATGTCTGACTGGCGGCACTGGGAGGCCGGCGGGAATTTGGCGTTATTGACTTGGCAGTCTGAATTTGCGAAAGGCGAGGTCGTGTCGGGGCCTTGGGTGTCACGTAAGGGGATGCGGAAGTTGTAGTGACTGACGCAATCTCTCGTGAGTTGTCAGTCACCTGGCTGTCGGAAGATAGCGGGCGTGCAGACACACGATCCATAAGAATTTGATCTATTTGTTTGGAGGACAGGATAGTCTGGGATCCTTGGTCCATGCTCACTGAACTAGATTGCTGTCTAGCAGAGCGAGCAAGGGCGTTGCCAGAGATATCGTTCAAGGCCAGTCCGCTACCAATAAGCTGATCACTATTGGCTGTACTGGTACGGCTACGAGTAGCGTTAGTAGGCTGGTCTTCGTGGATAATCACTGCGGCCCCTGCGGCCTTTGACTCAGTCGACTCGGTTTGAGTAGATAAATCTGCCACCGTAGGGATGACAAATGGCATGGACTTTGCTGGATGAGTCTCCACAGAGCACACAGAGGAGAATGACAATGCCGGCGTGGGCGCAAGGCGGGGCTTTGGAATAACAGGCTCAGTGTATGCTGGATCGAGGCTAGATATCGTCAAATTCGGTACCTCGCGTTCACGCTCAACGTGCTTGATCACATCGACGTATTGAATGGCGGGTGGTTCTGGTTCAGGAACAGTCGCTTTGACGGGCGTAGTGGATTGAGTGGTGATCGAAGAGAAAGTCAATTCGGGTACCTCAAGCTCACGCTCGACGTGTTTGATAACATCAACGTATTCAATCACAGGCTCTGCTTTGGCGATGGATGCCTGTACAGGGGCAGTGGAATGATTGTTGATAGAAGAGAACGTCAACTCAGGCACCTCGCGCTCGCGCTCAACGTGCTTGACAACGTTAACGTATTCAATGACCGGCACCGCTTTAGCAAGAGTTGCGTGCACAGGCGCAGTGGACTGAGTGGTGATAGAAGAGAAACTTGACTCTGGCACTTCACGCTCACGTTCAACGTGCTTAATGACATCGACGTATTGAATGACAGGCGGTTGGGGCTCAGGAACAGTTGC